TTTTTCTGTTCTTTCAGATTTTACTAATTAATTTTCTGTCTTTAGGCCTTTCAGTGAGTTCTGGTGAAATTTCTTGTGGTCTTCTACTTTTTTGGTAATTTTAATTATATTGGCTTTTTTTTCTGTTCTCATGAAATTCTTGCAAATGTGGCAGCAAGTTTGTTTGAATGACAGAAGAGAATTGTAGTGCTGATCTATGAAATGAAATATTTAAAAATTTTTATTATTATGAAGGAAGTTCATTGTCTTTAAGGTTTTTAGTGATTTCTGTTGAAATTTCTTGTGGTCTCCCCTGGTCTTCTGGCTTTCCAGCAATTTTATTGTTTGTTTTTTTCCTGTACTTCTGGATTTTACTAATTTTCATTGTCTTCAGGTCTTTCGATGATTTCTGATAAAATTTCTTGTGGTCTCCCCTAGTATTCTGGCTTTCTGGTAAGTTTAATTGTGTTGTTGGAGAGTTTTTTCTGTTCTTCTGGATTTTACTAATTAATTTTCTGTCTTCAGGTTTTTCGACAATTTTTAGTGAAATTTCTTATAGTCTTCGGCTTTTTTGATAATTTTAGTTGTGTTAGTTTTTTTCTGGTTTTCCAGATTTTACTAATTAATTTTCTTTGTCTTTAGGTCATTCGGCGATTTCTGGTAAAATTTCTTGTAATCTCGCCTAGTATTCCAGCTTTCTGTTAATTTTAATTGTGTTGTTGGGGGTTTTTTCTGTTCTTTCGGGTTTTACTAATTAATTTTCTGTCTTTAGATTTTTTGACGATTTTTGGTGAAATTTTTTGTGGTCTCCTCTGGTTTTCCGGCTTTTCTGGTATGTTTAATTATGTTGTTGGTTTTTTTTTCTGTTTATCCAGATTTTACTAATTAATTTTCTTTGTCTTTAGGTCATTCAGCATTTCTGGTAAAATTTCTTGTGGTCTCTCTTAGTATTCCGGTTTTCTGCTAATTTTAATTGTATTGTTGGGGTTCTTCCAGATTTTACTAATTAATTTTCTGTCTTTAGGTTTTTCGACGATTTTTGGTGAAATTTCTTGTGGTCTTCCGGCTTTTCTGGTAGGTTTAATTATGTTGTTGGTTTTTTTTTTGTTTATCCAGATTTTACTAATTAATTTTCTGTCTTTAGGTTTTTCAGTGAAATTTCTTGTGGTCTTTCAACTTTTCTGATAGGTTTAATTATGTTGTTGTTTTTTTTCTGTTTATCCGGATTTTACTAATTAATTTTCTTTGTCTTTAGGTCTTTCGGCATTTCTGGTAAAATTTCTTGTGGTCTCTCTTGGTATTCCGGTTTTCTGCTAATTTTAATTGGTTTTTTTTCTGTTCTTTCAGATTTTACTAATTAATTTTCTGTCTTTAGGCTTTTCAACGATTTTTAGTGAAATTTCTTGTAGTCTTCTGGCTTTTCTGGTAGGTTTAATTATGTTGTTGGTTTTTTTTCTGTTTATCCAGATTTTACTAATTAATTTTCTTTCTTTAGGTTTTTCAGTGAAATTTTTTGTGGTTTCCTGGCTTTTCTAGTAGGTTTAATTATATTGTTGGTTTTTTCTGTTTATCTAGATTTTACTAATTAATTTTCTTTGTCTTTAGGTCTTTCGGCATTTCTGGTGAAATTTCTTGTGATCTCTCTTGGTATTCTGGTTTTCTGCTAATTTTAATTGGTTTTTTTTCTGTTCTTTCAGATTTTACTAATTAATTTTCTGTCTTTAGGTTTTTCGATGATTTTTGATAAAATTTCTTGTGGTCTCTCAGCTTTTCTGGTAGGTTTAATTATGTTGTTGGTTTTTTTTTCTGTTTATCCAGATTTTGCTAATTAATTTTATGTCTTTAGGCCTTTCAGTGATTTTTGGTAAAATTTCTTGTGGTCTCCTCTGATATTCCAGCTTCTGGTAATTTAATTGTGTTGTTGGTTTATTTTCTGTTTTTCCAGATTTTACTAATTAATTAATTTTCTTTGTCTTTCGACGATTTTTGATGAAATTTCTTGTGATCTTCTCTGGTCTTCCAGCTTTTTTGATAATTTTAATTGTGTTGATTTTTTTTTCTGTCCTTCTGGCTTACTAATTTTCTTTAGTCTCCTAGGTTTTCTAATTTTATTCTTATCTTTCGGCATTTCACTGGTGTGCTTTTTGGATTTTCCTGCATTTGAACTGTTTTGGGTCTTTCAATGTTTTATTAGTGAAATTTCTTGTGGTCTTCAGCCTAGAGAACTACAAGAAGGTTCTTCAGTAAAACGCCGAAAGTGATTTTCAGTTGACGAATTTTCTTGTGATCATGTTTTTTTCTTTATATATATATTGAATTTTATAATAAATAAAGTTTATATTGTGTAATTGTCTTTGATATGTAGAATGAAATAAATATACATATTT